TATATATATATATATAAATATAATTTTTTGATTTTTATTTTTTATATATATATAGAGAGAATATAATTAAGTGCAAACTGAATGCAATGTTTTCAGACACTTAATTGCAATCGAATTTACCATTGAATGAAAATGTATTATAGTTTAAATTTATATTAAATGAAATTAGTTGAGCTTAAGAGTGCTTTTTTTACCCAAGTACATCGTTATAATATAATCACTTCTATTGTCTTTGAAATATGGATTAACTGTCGAATGTACTGACAAGCATTTATGGTAAACTAAAATATACTGTAATGTCATTTCTATTGAAACTTGTATGTCATATATTTAAATATTGTATATTTGTAATGACACCTTTGTAATGATGAAGTTGCAATTTAGTACATTTAAAAAAGATTAACTTTAAATGTAACATCCAATAACATTTAACATTATCATCAATTTTTTTAAATATACTTTTAAGATTTGAAGTAAACATTCAGTACAAGTGAGTGTACTTTGGTTCACAAGCATAGTTTTTTTCAAAACATATTATTTTTTAGAAGGTGGTTATTGATATTGTTTTAATCCATGTGCATTTGATTATCTTCTTGTTGTAATAATCCTCTTGTATATTGTTATTGTTTTATAAACCTTGCTTGTGTAGCACTTTGGTCAGCATTTGCCTTTTTAAATGTGCTATATAAATAAACTAAACTAAGAGAAAACTTAGATTTTTCCCTCATTCACTCAGCATAGTTGGTCATCATTCTTTATCCCAGGAGGTCACTAAAATCTCTCCTTTGTCCACTCAGCAGGTCATTGTCCTGAAAACCTTTGCAAAACAAACCAATTCCACCTCAGATTCAATAAACACAGTTATCCCAAAAAGACAACATGGACAAATACATTTATTTCCTTTAAAACAATTGAAATTTGGACAAAAAATTGAGGGCATTTCCCTGATTAAAATTTTCCATGCAGCTGAATATACAATGAGACAGGAGGTACGCTGTTTTTTTTGTGTGTGTTTGTTTCTACGGTGACGATGATTCAACTGAGTGCTGCCAGTGGAAATGAACACCTGGTGGTGGTGGATGGCTGCTCAGAAAGTTACTACCATCTGTTCTGTGTAATTTCTATTCAAACAGCTGGGATTTGATCGAACTTGACTGGGTTTGTGCTTTTATTGTAAGAGTTGAGATATCTGTCTGCAGCAAATAGCGAAGATCTATGACTCAGTGCAAAGTTTTGTGCATATTCATAGCAGAAGATATTCTGATGATAACAACACCTGAAAGAAACAGGTGTTGTGATGCCCATAGGGCTATAGAGGAAAATGAACAGCAGCCAAAGACAGAACAGTTAGCATGTTTTGCTCAAACTTTCGCCATAGCATTCGAGCTGGTACACTGTTATCACTTGCGAAATCACAATGACGGCGCTGTGGGTGGAAATTTACAGATTAAGAGATGCAGATTATAGATGCATGTTATAGAGATTAAGTGCTATAACCTGATTATAGCACTTAAAACCTGGAAAAGTCAGATTTTCATGATATGTCACCTTTAAATTATAAATCTTCTGTGTTGTTCACTAACGTTACGTTTTAATGGGTGTAATAGTGATATCAAAGTACGTAGCATCCTGTATTAAATGACATATTAAATAGATGTAATTGAACATTGAATCAATTTAATGACTCCCTGCTTCAAATGGACACAACGAATAATTGAAAAGACATAATGCTTGCTATTGTCTTTATTTACCAAGAGGAGGTGTTATCATATAACAACGATACAGTCCTCTAACAGAATAGGTTTGCATGGTGACTGTAATGCTTTATTTAACATCTCAATATTTACTGGACAAATAGGCCTTCTTCTTTTGTCTTGCACACAGGGCCCTAGGATACAATATTTGTTTAAGCTGCATATACATTTCAAAATGTACATTCATCATTGATTGCAAACAATTCATCAACAAGAAATGAGTTGCACTATAAATGAAATTCAAAGGATTTCTAAGCGATAAGGACATTTTTAGGTCTTTTTTAGAATATTTTAACGGTCGAAATGATTCACAAATCATACGACTCTTGAATCGAACTTGTGCTCTCTGAACAATTAACACTTCCGGTCATGTCCGAGTCGTCCAAGAGTCGATACAAAGAGAAGCTGCAGATGGCGTTCTCTAAAAAGCTAAACAAAAGTAATCAAAAAAAGATTCACCCCCAAACTTCTGGAGGTCTACAATTTACTTAATTTTTACTCAATTTTAATTATTAGGCTACATAAAAAAGATCCGATTCAAGGGTACGATTTGGGAATCACATCTCACAATCCACCAGTTGATTCTGTGTGTTTCCGCGGCGCCCGCAGGGGGTGCAAATAATCCGTTGAAGCACTTTAAAGATTTGAATAAAGGCAATTTTCCTATCAAATGTAGGCTCTCTTGGCAGGCTATCACAATATTTCTGTGTGAAAATTAAAGGAAATATTTTCAGATGATGCTGTTAACGTCTTTATTGTGCTTATGATGAAGACATAGGCTAGGCCAGAGTTATTATATAACTAAAACCTTTAAAAAACTTGCAATAAAAAAATATATACAAACAACACTTATTTTATTTCATCTAGTTGCCAAGGCAGCATTTCTCATTTCCATTTGGTTTAACTTAAAATAACTAACACTATATATATATATACATATAGATACACACACACACACACATATATACACACACACATTGATACTAAAATATAACATTGATGTAGTCTACTTACATTAATATAAGAAGAAAAAATTGTTTAGTTTCATTAGAGGATCCACAAAAGAATTACAAAAGAAAAGAAATGTTTTGATGCTCAACATACAGTCCAAGTTCTCACTATAGAAAGCATAGAGAATAAATAAGCATTGTGATTCATTTCTCTCCACTTTATTTCAGTAACCATGAGTTTATTTCTAGCTGCTCTTTAAATACTGCAATATTAATTGCTGTGGGTTCGAGGACTGTGCCTGTTTTGTACACAAATAAAGAAAGTCTTAAAATGACCACACAGAGGTTAAAGCAGCCCAAAAGGGCTTTAAACAAAGTCCTAAAACAAAATCAAAGCCATTTAATCAAATACTTTTTTATTACAAGAAAGCAAAGGCTATTTCTGAATTTGCAGCAGTGTGTCACAAATAAAATGTCGAATAAACCAGACAAATGAAATCAACTTGATTTATATTACATTTTCTTTAATGTGCACAGCATTATGTGATTTTACAGTAAAAGCAAGGAAAAAGAATTTCATTTTTCATATAAAAATATGAATAAAAATACTATCTCATCTACAGAGGCAGACTGAGTGAAGAAAATGCATTTCAATAGATACTAAGACAGCAGGTAAACAAAGAGGTGACTGAATCGAAGCAGACAAAAGGTGAGAGAAGTGAGCTTAATGTCAGTACAAAATACTATATACCCCACTTAAGCAGCAGCCTCTGATGCTGGAAACGTTCGTTTGCTGCCAGTATTTGCCAGTGTGTGTGTCTGTGTGTGTTTGTGTATGACAGTGAATAAACAGAAAAACAGGCAGGTTTGTTTACGGGACAAAACTTCAAACCAAATGATGTCACTTTTTTCTACAGAAACAACATTTTAAAAAATGCAAAAAAAACAAGTTCTTCATCTTCAAAGACTGCAAATAAAGTATAAGTGTATGTTAAGGCTCTGGTAATGTGCTTAATAAAGTTCAATCATCACAACCTGCTGGAAGATCTCGCTAGGTTGGTGTCCTATAGTTGCTAGCTTCATCTGGAAGTTGTAAAGACATTCTCTGCCACTCAAAAAGCTGTTGCCATGATGGCTGGTTTGAAGCGTTACGTGTCAGAGCCAGGAACAGTCTCTTTGTTAGTATATGCTGAGCTGGCAAAGGGTTCAGTGAGGGCACCTCTTTTGCCCCGTGTTTGGGCCATCCACCATATTTAGTGGCAACATGCAGTGTGACGGGCAGTCTTGACATCAGCAGGGCCACGCCTACTTTTTTCTTCTTCTTTTCCCCCCCCCCCGAGCCCTTTCCCAAAAACAAACAAAAAACATTTGGATTCCATAAACCCCAGTGATGACACCAAAGGGTGATAGTACCCAAATGGATGGATGAACATAGCAAAACTATTAGAATCTACTATATAATGTTTACACATCACAATGGAACTATTTTGGCACGACTAAGTAGACATGTCAATGAATGAAAGGGGACAAAAAACAAACAAAACCAAACCAAAAAAAAAAGTTCACAGCCTTGTCCCAGCAGGGAAATCTTAAAGGTATGGTTCACGCCAAAATGATAACTCGGTCATCGTTTACTCAACCTCATATCTTTACAAAAGTTTGAAAACAATTTAACGTTAAAGGTGCAGTCACATTTACTGTTGTTCAGCAAAATTTCGAGTCTGAAATTCAGTTATTTCAATAGGTATATATGTGATTGATTGGGAATTTTGCAAAAGATTTCTTCCCAACAGAGATTTCACAACAAATTCAAGTTGGTCACGCAGATTCGCTGCACTGATCAACAGAAAACTGCTTGGGTTGAAAGTGAGCTAAGCTTCATACATCGCAACACTATTGACAATAAATAGTGCATGCTTTTTGCCAACGTGACCGCACCTTAAAAATAAAATTTTTATGTATTTTATACTTTTACATTTTTACTTTAAAATGTATATTATATTTTATAATTTATATATATATATATATATATATATATAATTTATAGTAATATATATATTATATATAATTTAATTATAGTGACCACTGTCAAGCTCCAAAAAGTACAAAAAACACACACACACAAAAAAACCCCACTATTAAAGTACCATAAAAGTGGTCAATATGACTCACCCCTCTATATTTCATATCTCATATCATATATCACATGACTATGGTAGACTTGAAAAAAAAAAGTCACATGGATCACTTTTATGGTGGTTTTGAACATGGAACGACATGAGGGTAAGTAAATTACAGAATTTTCATTTTTGCATTAACTACTTTAAAAGTCAGGCTGAAACGGTATTCCTACGTTGATAAATGCTAACAAATTACAAAAAATTTGCATTTTTAACACACGTCCCCTATACCCCAAGAATCCAAAGCTGAGAGGAGACAAAGCTCACGGACAGATCAGAGACAGAGAGGAGAGTCTTATCAAAGGGCCACCTAAATACAGTGCAACCCTCCATCTCTGTTCACTTTTCTGCCCTCTTTTTTTAGAGAGGTTACATTTGTTTTATCTTCCTGCATCGGACATTGGTTTCCATTCCCCTGCCACACACCAACCCACCCCACCCCAGCCCTCTGGCTCTTTTCCTTCTCCCTGTCCCTACACCACCTTGGTAGTGGTGACCCGGACGCTGCTGAAGCACTTTCCGATGGCTTCGAACAGCGGGTCGCAGAAGGTGTGCACACAGATGGAGTAGACTCGACTGACACAGTGGATCTCAATTAGGTAGCTCTTCACGCAAGGCACCACCGCCCAGATGTGGATGAAGGAGAGGATGGCGAAGAAGATGCCCCATACCAGGGCGAGCGGGATGCCTACCAGGGCCGTCAGCAGCCTGTAGCACCAGTACTTGGTTACTGTGAAGGTGGTGAAGCTCGCCTTCCACACGCCGTCGAAGCTGTAGGTACCAGCAGGCTCAGCGATCACGTCCTCAAAGTCCACCTGGAGATGAAAGGGATTTCAGAATTTTATCATTTTATCATTTTATCAACGGAATTAAAAAATTTTGTATTCTTATAATCACAATTTAGACATCATTTCATTTTGCACAACTGTTTTCCAATTAACCCATTAATGACTTTCTAAGACCTTTATATCATTAACATGATCAATACTTTTTCATAAAAACCTCAGTCTACTGCATGTCTTCTGCCTCCTGGTGGATTATCCATGATATTCAGGTAGTAAAAAGACTTTTAATAATATTTAAAAAAATATCTGCCTCTGTGTTGCAATATGAATGTTTTTGCTGGGAAATCTTTGCTTATTTAAGAATAACTTTTGAATTATTATTGATATTTCAAAATATATTAAATATTGAATATATGGATATATAAATATTATTATTAATAATATTATCAACTATCTATCTATCATCTAAATACCTAAATACATACAATAAAAAAAAAAACATATAGATAAATCTATTTCAGTCATTACTGTAATGCAACTCATAATTTGTTATGCCAACCACAATTAAATAAAATAATTAAAATAATAAACAAAATTAAAATATTTCAATATAATTTTAAGATATATGAAAAATATACACATTTATATATTCATCCATAAATTCTCCAGCCCACTTGTCCTATGAGGGGTCATGGGGATGCTGAAGCCCATTAATTTTATTATACATATATTTATATTTTATTTATATGTAAGTTTTTGTGATCAATAAATTATCATAAAAACTGGAGTATTTCTGCATGTTTTCATCCATATCAAGTGGACTGACATTAAGAAAAGCAGCATGACTCTTCCTCCTCCCCTTCAGCCATCTCCACATTCCTCACAGACAGCATCTTTACATTGTCCAGCAGCCTGCTCTGCTTCACTCAGACTGGAACCACCCGGTTCATGCCCAAGTCACCTTGCTCTAAACCTCAGGTATCAACTGCAGACTGGATCAGATAGTGCCTGACACCAAACACTAACACTTAGAAAAGACATGTATATATAAATCTCATTTAATAAGCCCTGCAAAGCTTGGTTTAGATGTTCCTCGAGCTGGCAAACCTCACACCATCCTGGTTTAACAGTACACTTGCTTTTAAATGCAGATGTGTTTATTTCAGTTGAGACACCTTTGCTTATACAGGGTAAAAGCACACACAAACACAGCCCGTCCTTCACAGTCACATGTCAAAGTCAAGATTAAGCTAATATTTAACACCTCCTTTTTGAGCAAGCTATAGCCAACAAAATCTAGCTGAACTTCTTCTAATCGAAAGACAGCAGTGTTGTTTATGGTGATCTTTCAACTAATAGTCCCCGAAAATGAATTGTTTCCCTACTTAAAAGACCAGTTTAGACTTTTTATACTAGTTGAAACAGCATAGTTTTGTTGTTCACTAGGAAAAAATGCTGGTTAACCAGCACAATCTATCTAAAGGCTTGCTGGTTAAGTTAGTTAAGAAGCCTTATAGGCGCACCAACATGTCTGTTAGAGTAAATTGAAGTTCTTGTAAGAGTAAAATGATAAATTACTACTTGTCCAAGGGCTTGAAACCATCATGGCTCAAGTTGGCAAAGAAACGCCAAATTAGACAGTCTTATAAGCCTGTCCTCCCAGTTCATTTATCTACAGTATATCCCGATTGGCCAGACACATAGTTTCCATTACTTGAATATTACAACTATGACTTTCAACAAAGTTAAAATAAACAGTTCTTGAGCTGACTGCACAGTGTTGTCTGATAACACCTTCATTGTACTGACAGAAGCATCAACTTGCATTCTTCAAACCTCGGGGCTTGTGATTATATGACCAGTCCACACATAGTTAATAAATCACCAGTGTGCAGTGAACAGTTTATGGATGAGTAAAATGAGTGCACTTAAACATGAAAACAATGATCAATTTAGTCAAAATAACTATATAAATAAATATATCACTTTTCAAACTGACAAATAAGTATACATTTAAATTTTTTTATTTAAAATTGTCTAAAAAGGCAATAAAACAAAACAAAACAAAACAATAAATAAATAAATAAAAACAAAAATGTAAATAAATATACCCCTTTTCAAACTGACAAATAAATTGTCACATTTAAAAATGAAAAATAAAAAATGAAATTTTTATTTAATGAAAATTAAAAAAAATTTAAATAAATAAATCATATTTAAAAATGCAACTATATTTAATAATACAATAAAAATATATAAAATAGAATAAGATAAAATAAAAATGTAAGTATATAAATAACTTATCAACAAATAAATAGACATATTTAAAACAGTTTAATACATTTTTAAAAATGGAGCTATATTTAAAAACAACATTTGTATATAAAATAAAATTTAAAAAATGTTAAAAAGTAAATACATATTTTGACAAATAAATAGACATATTTAAAACAGTTTAAATGATATTTAAAAATGGAGCTATATTTAAAAACTGAATTTGTACATAAAATAAAATAAAAAAATTAAATAAAGTAAATAAATATATAATTTTTCAAGCTCACAAACATTTAAAACTGTTTATTTAAATAATGTTTAAAAATACAGCTATTTTTAACAATAAATAAAATAAAGTAAAATAAAAATGTAAATAAATAAATCATATTTTAAAATGCAACTATATTTAACAATAAAATGAAAAAAATATATATATATAAAACAAGATAAATTAAGAAAGTAAATAAATAAATCACTTTTCAAACTGACAAATAAATAGATATATTTAAAACTGTTTATTTCATGTTTAAAAATACAGCTATATTTAATAATAAAATAAAATAAATAAAATATAGAGCTCGTTATCTTATTTTAAAATAATCCTCCATATACAGTACACATCAAATATGTTGTACTTGGACAGGCAAAATTTTTTTTTAAATAATGCCATTGTTGAGGATCCACAGCGGTTTTAAATTAAAAAGAAATTATAGCTACAATTGTTTATTTTTTCTAAATCCTTGATCACCATGGCAACAGTCTGTGACTCTTTTCAAATCGCAAAATCAGATGCAGTGACTAAAAAAAAACACCAAAGCCTTAATGCTGTAACTGTATCAGCTCAAGAAAGTTTTCCTATATTGGTCAGCCAAAAATTATAGTAATCAGGCAAAAAAGACATACTACAAATTATAATGCCACTCATTGGGAATGTCTACATGGGGGTCATCTCGTCCTGTGCTCTGGCCACACTCCCATGTGGAATCCTGCTCTAGCATGCTATTAAAAGAATGTACTTTTATGAGAGGAAAATAGTCTGTTCCAAGGGAAAGCTATGCATGTGTTTCTGCACACAAGGATCTTTGATGTGGATGTCTGTGGGAGTGCATTTGGACCACGAGTGCATCATGGTCTGGAGGAACGCCCCGTGTGTGTGTGTGTGTGTGTGTGTGTGTGCTCGTGTACAGAGAATTTGTGAAAATGGAGATGGGAATTCCCTGCTACGCTCTCCTACGCAAGACCACTGTGAGCGCTCAACCCCTTTTAAGGCCAAAATAAAAGGACTGTGTGCGCAAACGAGTTTGACTTGTGACATCAATCCCATAATTCTTAGCAAACATCAAATTAAAAGCAGAAAACTAGCTTTCAGTGTTCTCTGGATTCAATTTTCAGTCAAATCATGAGAAGCATTCAATTGCATGTGTCCTCGGGGATGTGACTCAGTGTCATGTTGAGGTGGGAGGGAGAAAGACACAGAATAAAAGAAGAAATAAGGGATGGGAAGAAAAGAGCGGAGATGGATGCAGGGGGATCATTTTCGAAAGCAGAGTGTATTTCTATATCATCAGGTGACCTGTTGACTTTTCTTTCTGAGAAAGTTGCTATGCAAGGCATCGACCCACGCCCAGGAAACTTTTCACGAAGAATGTTAGGTGTGCAGCCTTTGCTCAAAAACAGGAAACTGTTAATATTTCCTCTATAAAAAAGGCCTTACTTTGACAGCTCCTCACTGCTTGGGAGTTACCAACGCCACATGCCCTTCAAAATGAGAGCACCGTGCTATTACTGAATGTAGGATTTCACAAACTCGTGCCACAGTCCCAGCATTTCACATTGCGAAGACAGCTGCTCCAGTGATAATTGCTTCCACCCTGTTGGGAAATCCAGCTTAAGCTGGTAGCTGTGGAACAGCTGGTTTCTAAGCTGGTTTACCAGCTACCATGCTCTAAAAACCAGTTTGATCAGCTGGTTCAAGATGGTCTAAGACATTGCACATGCTTAGAAACCAACTACTGCTCCAAAACACCTAAAGTAGCGACACCAGCGCTCCAGAATGCAATGATAGGGACCAGGTGACACCGGATGCAAGTGCGTTTAAGGTTTTGCAAGTAAAATGATAGATTCTACAAGGACTTGAAACCACCATTGTATCAGTTTTCAAAGACAGCTGCTGCTTGCAATAATTGTTTCCAGTGCCACCGTGACAAACTGACCACTGACTCACCACTTAGTTTATGAAGCCAAACTTTCTGTTGAGTTATAATGCAAAACTATTACTTTTTTTTTCATAAAAAATATTTATTATAACAATACATACCATTTAATAATTATAATATTTATATTATAATAATAATACAAATAGTTATTAATAAATTACATATTGTAATACAACATAATATTATAAATTTATTATAAAATATAATACATACTAAAACAATTACGTATAAAAAGTTGCGTGCACTTGCTTCATATTACATTATACTATTCGTGCACTTATCTATAAATAAATCCATTTTAAAGTATTTTATTATTATTAAAGTGACTTGCCAAGAAAGAAAAAGTTGCATAAAGCAGAAAAAGTTCGTTGAATGACTTACCTTCACCACATCGTCATTTAAATGCTTTGGGTCCCGGTTGACCAGGTCAATCTCCTTGGTGTGGACATCCTGAAGGGTCTTTTCATTGATGCTGTCCTTATCCATTTCTTTATTATTTGGTTTATAAATGTTCCCCTGTTTCCTGATGAACGGTGAGTGAGCGTAGTCCTGCGGTTCCAGAGAAAACAGAAAATGAAGTTCATGAGCGTGGAGGGGAGACTGGGGCGCAACTCGGCACTGCCTTGGCATGGGATGGTTTTAAGCGGATAGAAATGAAGCACCACACCCCTTTGGAACACAGCAGAGCGACCCGCCGCACGGGGGCGCCATTTCCCACTGTGCTCTGCTCTTAATCCGCAGCAGAAATATATATCAAATACACTCACAATTTAAAATATTTACCTTTTAGGACGTGTTTAAAATATATTAGTTATTCTGAACTAAAAAAAAGAAGAAGTAATTGCATTGCGTTTTGACAACATGCGCTACGAAACGGCACATTATTTTGGATTAGTGAACAGTTCATATTTTAGCTAATATTATTATTCTTTAAAGTTGAGTTTGCGAAAGTGTGCATAAAGTGAAAAATGAAGGGAGAAGTAAGGCTTGCTGTACAACTACTTGCCAGAAAAAGATAATACCAATGAGCAAACATGCGCGAAAAAAAGACAGTAGTAGAGCAATTGCCAACACACCGCCTTCATGTGTTGATAAACCCCTAAAAGTGTTTGAGTAATAAGTAGCCAACTTAGCTAAGGGTTTGTTGCATAAGTTCCTCAAGAAATCCTGAATTGACATTTCTGAGGTAAAATAGGTGTAATTCTTACCTCTTCAGGTGCCTCGTCCTTGTATCCGCTAGTCATGCTGTCCCGTGCCTGAAGTGCGCTCAGATGAGTGTGTGGAAACAAGACAATCAGTAGAGAGGAAGCAGTGTGGGAGGCGTGGGGATATTGCTTACAGTGGGGAGTCCTTTCCCTTAAAACAGCCCTCTTTTCTGCATACGAACGTCCAATAAAGCTTTTATCTACTGAGTCGTGTTTTATCTCTCCTGGAGTCTCTCATGGCATTAAGTGGGAGTTCCTCTCAGTCACTGAGGACAAGCTGTGTGTGTTCAATGAATGAGACTGAAACCTTCCATTAGCCTGCCACTCGTAGAGCTACGCAGTATTAGTGGTTGGATATTTTGACGTGATTTTTCCTAAATGGGAGGCATATATTTGGGCACTGTACCAACTTCTCCTGAACGAATCCCATGTACACTACCAGAACGTTTTTATTAGCACTATTTTCCACGTTGCTGTAATGGTAAAGCCATCACAATTATAAAGCATCAAAATGGAGGATTGTGTAGTGACCAAAATTAAATGTTAAACAAATCAAAGTTACTCAACAAGCCACCCTATCTTACTATCTTACAGCTCTATGAGGTGCATCTTGAGAAGGTTTTCAAATAGTATTGAGTATCCTGAACACTTATTGGCTGCTTTTCCAGTCCAACATTTAAATTCGAAAAGATATAGTTCTGTAAGGAAATTCATACATGACTTGAGGTGTATAAACCTGAAATGTGACTAAGGTCGGTTTGCATACCGCAATGTACCTCAAGGCAAGACTGACTTGCACTTAGTTTGGAATGTTTTCACCAACAATAACGCTGCGGTTTAATGTTCTTGTTTTTCTCATATTTGTCCAACTTTACTATCATTTACTTTACTTATTTATATCTTTGAGTGTGCATTTACTGTGCCTAACAAATATTTGTGTATCTGGGTCAGGTTCTGGCAAAGTGAGGGATGTGACAGGCAATGCAAAATATGCAAAAAAAAAAAAACGACAAGTGGTAGTGGCCAAAAGTCACTGTATAGCTCACGTAAAAAAGCACTTTTGTAGTTATTTTAAATTTTTTTTATATAAAACTATAATACAAATATTCGTATTATTTTATATGATAATTTTCATCATTGTTGTACTATATAAAATAATAAATATACAATATAAAATATATTTCTGTATAATATATATTAATTTAAAGCAGTAATTATTGCAATTTATTGAAAAAATCAATTTATTTGTACTTCATAGTAAACCTACTATTCTACCAAGTCAAAATGCGTAATGAAACGTTTAATAAAATCTAGCTGTTAAGAACTCAATAGAACACTTCGATCCTTCTACAAAAACATACACTTTTTTTTGTGGGTACACCGTTATCCTTAGGCATACCTGTATTCCGCATTGAACATGTCACCCGGAGGATTTTTTTCTCATTGCACAAGACGTTAAATCTTGTCAGGTTAACATTCCATGTGCCACATATTGATCTCCATGGTATGGTCTCTCAGCAAAGAAAACAATCCATCCTTTAATTTCCAAAAATAATTTTATTTGCTGACTGAGAGACATTTAGTTCTGTCTTTCATAAGCTGAGCTGTGTTCAGCATGTTTGCTACATGACATCATTCAACAGGGGTGAGGAAACGGCACCTGAGCCTCTAATGTTCCATTTCACAGTCAAATATTCCATTTACTCCGCGGAGCCACTAACAAAGCACAATCAATGGCAAACAGCATGTCAAATGTGGCTTTGCAAGTCAAACGAATCGCCAATTCAATATCATTATGAAAAGAAGTCATTAATACAGAAGAAAATGTGTTATATTTGTGAAATGCTCTTTATAATAGGAATGTACCTAAAAACCATAAATAGTTTGTACACTAAAATGCCATCAAATCATTTAATTTACTCTGATAAATCATTTCCAAACAATATAAATATTAACTCAGAAATCGCACAACACTACAGCCCTATTGGAAGTAGCTGCATCATTTTTTCCTTACAAGCACATCATGCGCTTATTGCAATATTATATATCATGTAGTAGCACAATGTCTCATCCTTAAATGAACATTTGCTGACAATTTACTCACTCTCAGGCAATCGAAGATGTAGATGAGTTTCTTCTTCCAAACTAATTTTGAGGAATTTAGCATTACTAAATTGTTCACCAATGGATCTTCTGCAGTGAATGGGTGCCATCAGAATGAATCGTCAGAGTCATCAGAGTCCAAACAGCTGATAAAAACATCATAATAAAGTAATCCACAAACTTCAGTCCTTCAATTAACATCAATTAACAGCTTGTAAAGCAAAAAGATGTTTGTTTGTAATAAACAAGTCCATTTTTTTTTCACTGAAGAAGCACTATTATGAATTATGGATTCATACTTTAAGCAACTGTTTGGAGGTAAAAACGTCTTGATGAATTTGTTTATTACAAACACACAGCTTTTCGCTTAACAAGATGTTAATTAAAGGACTGGAGTCATGTGGTTTACTTGTGGATTATTGTGATGTTTTTAATCAGCTGTTTGAACTCTGATTCTGATGGCACCCATTCACTGCAGAGGATCCATGGGTGAGCAAGTGATGTAATGCTAAATTTCTCCAAATTTGTTCCGATGAAGAAACACTCATCTACATCTTGATCTTGATCTTGATTTTCAGCAAATATTCATTTTGGGGTGAACTATTCTTTTAAGGCTACATCTTAATCATTACATTATAATCTTTGAAAAGTCTTGCATTATATATAATATAAAAGGTTAATTAGACTTACATAACAGTACTGAAAAAGCATGTGAGCACTGACGACGCCCAGTACAAGGCTGACAAGTCAGTGGTGAAACAACGGAATGAATATTGCAATTGTGCACTGAAATGAAAGAAAAGCTCTTTCTCTTCTCTGTACTTCAGAAATCAAGGATAAATGATCCTTCAGCTAATAATCCTCCAAAAGGCCAAAGGCCAAAAAAACGTGTCAAAGAGATTCTGCAACACTTCTATGCTGAGTTAGATTTGGTCAGTTTTGCACAGTCTTGACATTGATGGACGACAAGCACCGTCCGATGCTGAAGAAGAACGGCCCTATAAACATGTCCATCAGGCTGGTCCAGATCACGTGGATGGAGGGCAGTGTCATCATGCAGCCCTGGATCACTGGCATCACCACCCTGTGGAGGGAAAACAGCTCATCATCATGTGTGCTGATATATAAGAATTACATAACAATCATATCAAGGTGAATTTGTTCCTCTCTCTTTGTTATAGGGTTAAAATATAGCCTGGAATGCGTGCGAAGCATTAACCTTCATGGTTCCAAAAATCATCACCTTTGATATTCTTAAAGGCAGAGTAAGTGATTTCTGGTAGACAATGTTGATATTTGAAATCACCAAAACAAACACGCCCCTACCCCAAAAGGGTCTTGCCCCTATTTTGATAGCTCCGCCCCACATATACGTACGCAACCCAGGCAACGATTAGTTCTGTGAAACAAAGCAAAACCAATATTTCACCGTGTCTACGGACGTGAGCGGCACAGCGCGGCGCAACAAATCCCCGACAGAAAACTGCTGCCGGGTTCTATTTATGACGTGATGACACAAATTTCAAATGGTTTTCAACGGTCGTTTGAGCACGTCCAGTGTAGGCAGACTTTAGCTGTTGTAGACACAGTGTTACTCACCTATTGAGAAGAAACAAAGCAACCTCGGCGTCCGATCGCAGGCCTCCGCTCCTTAAGTTCTCTCCAGCGCTGGAAAGCTGATCCGATATTTACACGGGTCCTACTTCTTGCCTTATCGTTCCGCAGACGTTTTCCTCTTTTGTTTTTTATCCGCCATCTCTATCTTTCTGTCACTCGGCTCGGCTAATGTCCGTCCCATGCACTGAACGCGCTCTCCTCCACATCACGAGTAGACACGCCCCTTATTGCTGATTGGCAACAAGTTTGTTTTGCGATTCGGCCCGAATCAGTTTTCTAAAGTGTTTTTGAAAAATCACTTACTCTGCCTTTAACATTCAGCACATATGCAAATCCATCAGTGAGCATGACTGGCCCATAACGAATGAATACGTTTTGAGATAATACATAAAGTGTTTCTAGTATCTACAGCACAGGTCTAACAGTTTATTTTTAATAAACTTATTTATAAAATTAAATTTGTAGGAAAATTCTCTGTTTATAATATTAAAGCTGCAGTCCGTAAGTTTTGCCTCTTTGTCGCCATCTCTGTTTGAAAACCTGCAATTGCAGCTGTGTGCGGAATTATCTTCCTTGTGTGGGTTGTGCTCCGGCGTGGCTCCAGCGCGGCTTAATCTAATGTTTTGAGGTGAATGTGTGGCTGTCAGTCACCGCACCGGTGTGGCAATTTCCTGTTCTTCGGAATCACAGATTCTCGCCTACGTCTTGGAATATATGACTCAAATAAGTATTTTCACCATATATTGTCATCTGAACAAGTAAGAAACAAGTCTGCCATGTTTGTTCTGACCAACTGAGGAAAAAAGCATTACAATAAATTATGTTACCAATGGTGATTTAATCTAAATGAGCTCATATCACATCAAAACCCGGGGATTATTTTGAAGCTTGTGGGGGCATCCTAAACTGCGGTGGCCTGATTCACCGCAGTAAAAACACAGTTGTTGATATCGTCTTCGTTCTCTTTCACTCTCAGATAGTCGGGACGCGTTTATTTGCATGGGTTCCTCAGGGGAAGACATTTCCACAGGGTTGGGTGTGAGATCATTGGTTCGCCCACCTCTTCCACTTTTCCTTTTAGGAGCTTGTCTCATGAGGTTATCAATCCTGATGGCGAGTGTGACAAAATCGGAGAAGGAGGACTCCTCACCCTTGCATGCAAGTTCTGCCTGAAGATCGCAGTTGAGACTTTTTGAGGGTGTTGCTATGCAGTTGCTACAATTCTGTGTTATTTTAACACTATGCTTGGTGTTGTTGGTGATTGCTAAAGTTCTGTGTGGATTTTAGCACTTTGCTGGTGTTCTAGAAGGTTGCTAGGGCGTTGCTATGCAGTTGCTTAGGTTCTGTGTGGTTTTAAGCTCTATGCTTAGCAATCTAGGTGGTTGTTAGGGTGTTGCTATGCAGTTGCTAAGGTTCAATGTGGTTTAGCACTATTCTCTGTGTTTCTAGGGCATTGTAATTGCTAAGTTTCTGTGTGATTTTTATCACTGTGCTTGCCGATCTGGGGTGCGTTTCCCAAAAGCAACTATGGTCGCAAGTTCCGTCGTTACCAATAGAGTTAAATGGAACTAACAACCATCGTTAGCTAACG